CCAGGAAGAGTCTGCACACAGGTCCTTGAGCTGCACAGTCTGCAGGGATGTGGGCATTTCCGTGGGCATTGCACAGGGGCAGTGTGCAGGGAGGGGGCCCTGCTCTGGACCCTGTCCTGAGCCTCTCTACCTTGGTGGCCCGGTCGGGTCAGGAGCGGCCAGCCTGGTTCGGGTCCCCTTGGCTGTGGATCCATCTGAGCCCTTGTCGTCTCTGGGCTTGCCGGGTGCCTCTACCCTTCATGGAGCGGCGCTGGGTGTCATTGCGTGAGCCTGTGAAAGTCCGAGTGGTGCAGACAGCACCTGCGGTGTGCGCTGTGCCTCTCGGTGGATTTCTTAGCCTTATCGGTGCTGGCCCGGCCCAACTCAGCTTTCTCTGCCCTAGATTGATTCTGGTGTGGCTTTGTCCTAGACTGCTCTTACACTTTGGGGGCCGGGAACATTCTCCCCGACACTCTGAGAAAGTCTGTGTGTAATCTGATGTGGGTGTCTTGTTGCGAGCACAGAAGTGTCCCATTCCTTGGGCTCGGCTTCCCGGGGCGTCTGCGTGACCTGAATGATGCTCGTGACTTCTCGCTGGCTCCTGGAGCACTGAGACTTGGTCATTTTGGGGGGTGGTATTGTTCTGGCCTTTAGAAGGGAACAGGATCCTTTGTGACTTGAGTGTAATACCCGATAGCCTTAAGGTTTCATTATGTCTATAGTGGAGAATAAAAGCAATATCTCAGTAGTACGCTGGGAGCTGGGATAAATAGTGAAAGGGCGGTTTTGTAGCAATCCAGTAGTTACTTATCTGAGCAGCCTAGAAGGAATAAATTTACTTAAAATAATCATCCGACTGCTCAGGAGGCTTTGATTTTATCGGTGTTCAGAGCTGTCCTGGAATGGACTTCATGACGACGCAAACAGATCGTTCATGCTGGGTTGGGAGGGCTCCAATGTTTTACAATTTTTGTTGTTGTTGTTGTTGTTGTATTAGGGATTGAACCCAAGGCCTTCACACTGAGCTACATCCCCACCCCTCGTTTAAATTTTTTTTTATTTTTATTTTGACACAAGTTCTTCCTAAGTTACTAAGTTGCTCAGGCTGGGCTCCAGCTTGCTATCCTTCTGCCTCCACCTCCCGAGTGCTGGGATGCCTGGCTCCAGCTTTCTTTTCTGAATAGTGAAAATTGATCGAGGTGGGAGGACAGGGCATTTTTTTGTTGATATATATAACAATAGTTTGGTGGACCTTTAATACTCTACCTCATTTTATTTTGATGATTACAAAATATTTTACTTTTGGTAATTTCTTTCTTGTATCTTGAAACCTGGTAGATGCTTCCTTCCTTGATTAGATTAAAATCTATGCTATTGATATTTTTGAAGCAGGATCTCCCTATATTGCCCAGGCTGGTCTTGAACTCCTGGTCTCAAGTCATCCTCTTGCCTGAGCATCTTGAATGCCAGAACCATGGGTGCATGCCACTGTGTCTGGCTAAAATCATTATGAAACTTTGTTTTTGAGAGTTTGGGTGGAGGGGTTATGTATTATTGGTCAGCTTTTCCATTGCTGAGACACAGGACCTGATATCTACAAGTTAAAGGAGGAGAGGTCTAACTTGGCTCATGATTTTAGGCGTTCAGTCCATGGTTGGCTGGTCTTAGGCAGAAGTGTCCTGGTGGAAGGGTGTGGTGGAGTGGGAACTGCTCTGTTCATGGCAGCCAGGAAGCACTGCAGGAGAACAGTGCCAGAGAGGAAGGGGCCGGGGACCAGATACGATGCCCACAGTCATACCTCCGTGACTCACCCAGACATGAAGTGTGCTCTAGGTGGTCGTCCGGGTATCTTGTCTCCTCGCCACGGCACCCCCGCTAAGCGGGCGCTACTGTCAGTCCCATTTTGCAGATGAGGGAACTGAGGCTTATAGAGAGAGATGATTTGCCCAGGACCGCTCACAGAAAACACACAGAACACACACAGCCCCCGTGCCCCGTGCCCCATGAGTGCATCTGCAGGAGGCTTTGCTTGGAGGAGGTTCCCCACCTGTGAATCAGCAGCTCCGATCCAGTAGTGGCTGCAGCGGCCGGCATTGAGGATGGGGGTTGGTTGGGAGCCTCTGTCCCCCACCGGAGCCTCTTTCCCTGGCGAGTGTCCTCTTCCAGGAGCTTCTCAATTCCCTGGAGGAAGGGAGCTTGGTCCCTTAGACATGTGCTGCTTCATGCAGCACTGGGACCCCTCTGCTGGGCCTCAGCATCTCCAGAAGGTGGTGCTGCTAGCTGTCCTCCCTCGCCATGTGCCGTGCGGTGCCCTTTGGTACTTAGGTAGGTGCTCAGTAAACATGGTAATGAAGCAGCTGCCGGAGTGAAAGGGGAATCAGTTTATTTGACACCAGCGGAAGTGCCTCGTAATTGTCGCCATCATGACTTAGAATGCACAATTTCAAAAGAACCCTCTGCTCCTCTTGGTAGCA